CCCCACAGCCAAGATCACGGAGGAGATCGAAGAGGTGGTGGGGCGGGGGCGCCTGCCGGCCATGGCGGACCGGAGCCGCATGCCCTACACCAACGCCGCGCTGCACGAGATCCAGCGCTTCTGCGACATCGTCCCCCGCAGCCTCCCGCACGCCGTGACCCGGGACACGCGCTTCCGCGGCTACAACATCCCCCAGGTACCGCCGGGCGCCGGGTCCCACCCGCGGGGTGGGGCCAGAGTCACCCCGCTGTCACCGATGGGGCCCTGCAGCTGGCAATCTCGGTTTGGGCCCCCCCCCCCCGTTTCCATTCCTAGCTGTGCCACTGCTGCAGAGGGGGAAACTGAGGCACAGAGCCCTGCTGGTAGCATCCCAGGACTGGGACCAGGAGTCCTCATCCCTCCTGCTCTGACCATCACGCTCTCCTTCCTTCCCGGCCGTGCAGGGCACAGACGTCTTCCCCGTGCTGAGCTCCGTGCTGCGGGACCCCAAGTACTTCAGCGAGCCCGACCGCTTCGACCCCGGGCACTTCCTGGATGAGCAAGGCCAGTTCAAGAAGAACTGCGCCTTCCTGCCCTTCTCCGCAGGTAGGGCACGGCTGGGCGCAGACCCCCGAGACCCCAGCAGCGCCCAAGGCCCCAGGGCCCTGCGGTGCTGGGCGCAGAGCTGGGCAAAATTTGGGGGTCAATGCATCGAGTCGCTGATTTTGGCTAAACCCGGTCCAGGGGTTGGGATGGTTTGAGACAAAGCGGCCTCAACCCCCAGGGAATCAAGGCACGGCCCCGTCCCATTTCAGAGCGGGAAGGGGAGTAGACGAACTGGTCCTTCCAGTGAGCAAAGCTTGCGCAAAGGGGTTTGCTCCACCCCAAAGCCAAAATACATTCCTGATCTTCCTGGCACATCCAGACAGCCGCCAGAGGGGCCAACGGGGCCTCGGGACTCCGGCGGGCGCGGGGTGCCCTGCGTGGGCGGCAGTGGTGCAAGAAATGCCCTCCCACGAGAAGCACGGGGGTCCGGGGTGACGGCGTCCCTCTGGGACCGTCTGCCAAGCTGCGGGGAGACGCGGGACGGGCTCCCGGGCATGGCGGGCACAGCCTGAGCTGCAAACCAGACAAAACGAGGGGCTGGGGTGACGACTGTGGATCAAAACAGTCCCCGAGAACGGGAGGCGGGCAAGGAGGCCAGAAGTCAGCTCCGTTCCCTAGATCTGCAACGAGGGCCTGGCCCAGGGGTGCAGCCCCCGGACCCCTGCCCCTGGCCCGTTGCCCCCACATCAAGCAATTTCTCCCGGTTCCCGGTTCAAACAGCACGCGGGCTGGGGGAGTACAATTAATTGGTGGGCCAGCGGGAATCGCCGCATTTTGTCCACCCCGGATTTAACCCCTCGGCTCCCCCTCCACCCGCAGGGAAGCGCAGCTGCCTGGGCGAGGGCCTGGCCAGCACGGAGCTCTTCCTCTTCCTGACCACGCTGCTGCAGAGCTTCACCCTGAGCTCCCCCGTGCCCCCCGCCGACATCGACCTGAGGCCGCAGGCCAGCGGCCTCGCCAACATGCCCCCGCCTTTCCAGCTCTGCGCGGCCCCTCGGGAGGAGCCGGAGCCGCTCCAAGCCCACGCGGGGACGGGGAGCGCGCGGCCGAGCCATGAGACGTCCGAGTGATGCAGTCGCCGGGCCAGGCCGGCATTGCTCCTTGGGGACCCGCCTGGGGTCCGGGAGGGAAGTGTCTGGAGCCTGGGGTCTCCTCCACGTGCGTCCATCGCCCGCCGCGAAGGGGCGGGGGCACGCGAGATGCCGGCTGCGCGGACCCGTCTCCGCTGTCTGCAGGCTCAAGCGGGTGGAGGGCGGCCGCGGCTCCCCCTGGGAAGTGATGCCCCCCCAGCACCGGTACCGCTCCCAGAGCTGCACCCTGGGGTTTCCGGTTCACGTCTCTGGGGCAGCACCAAAGCCCTCCCAGGTCCCGGGGCGCCTGGCGCTTTGCCCAGCAGCACTGTGGACACAGAGAGCCCGACACCAAGCCTCAGAGGCTCCCCCTGCCTCAGTTTCCTCACTCTCCGGGGTTGGCCCCGGGTCCTTTTCCCACCCGCAGCTCTGCCAGCCACCCCCACCCAAGCACGCCTCCCTCTTCCTCCTTTGCACCCGGAGAAGCCCTGCAAGTCTCCTCCTCCTCCCCAGGGAAACTGAGTCACGCTCCATTCTCCATCGGAAAGGGGATGGTCTTGTGCACCAGCTGCACGCTGCGGGGCTGGGGCTCAGGACACCTGGGTTCTCCCCCCATCCCTGCCACTGGTCTGCTGAGTTACCTCGGGCGAGACACTTCCCTGGTCCATGCCTCAGTTTCCCCAGCTGGAAAACGGGGAGGAAGCTGCCGAGGACTTGCAGGAAGTGCCCTGGGGGCCCTGCCAGAGGGGCCAAGGGCTGTTGCTGTGGCCTCATTCTGTGAAAGCAATAAAATATTGGGTTTTTAACGAGAATCTTTCCCAAACCTGTTATTGGGGGGCGGCTGGGGGAGCTCTGGAGAAGGACCAGTGAGGTCTGGGAAGGAAAGCAGAGAGCAGTTGGGGAGCCAGCCCTTGTCTGGACGGATGGGCACCGTCGACAGCCTGGGGAGGCTCTCGCGGGCAGAGCTGAGCTGCTGCCCCCAGGTCCCTCGGGTCGGATGGACAACTTAGCTGTGGGGAGACCGGTCCCCACATCGCCGGTCATGTGGCGCGACTGGCCTGGTCTGGGATGAGGACAGAGATCCAGCCCCGGGGTCCTCTGGGAGTCGTGTGCTAGAGAAGTGCCCGGGCCCTAAGGACAAGTTTCCCCTTGGTGAAAATCTCGCTATGACTTGTCCTAGATTCAGACAATCTTTGAAGATGAGGGTGGGCAGGGAGCTCAGGAGGTCGCATCCAGTCCAACCCCCTGCTCCAAGCAGGACCAGCCCCAACTCCATCATCCCAGCCAAGGCTTTGTCTAGCTGGGTCTTCAAAACCTCCAAGGATGGAGACTCCCCCAGCTCTCTGAGGAGCCTGTTCCAGTGCTGCACCACCCTTCTTATTTGAAAGTTTTTCCTAATATCCAACCTCAACTTCTCTTGCAGAAACTGGAGCCCATTGCTCCTCGTCCTGCCATCTGCCCCCCCTGAGAACAGCCCAGCTCCAGCCTTTTTGCAGCCCCCCGGCAGGGAGGTGAAGGCTGCTATTCAATCCTTCTCTTCTCCAGACTAAATCAGCCCAGGTCCCTCAGCCTCTCCTCACCAGTCCTGTCCCCCAGACCCTGGATCATTTTCCCTGCCCTCCCCTGGACTCGCCAATGTGTCCACATCCTTTCTGCAGCGGGGGCCAAACACTGGACGCAGGCCTCCAGGGTCGAGGCTGGGAGTGCCAGGTCGAGAGGGGAGTCGTGGGGGCTGTGGGATTGGAAAGGGGGTGAGAGATCAGGACGTGCACGCTGCCCGTTCAAACCTCTGCGGCTCGGACACACGACGCGGCTCCTCCGAACACTGCGCCAGCGCTGACGGTCGTCTTGCTGGGGCTGGTCCTGCCTCGGGCAGGTGGTTGGACCGCGTGGGCTTGGGGGCTCCCTTCCAGGCCCACTTCTCTAGGGAGTTCCCACCCGGCTTTGCCCCCATGTCCCACGAGCCGGGACAGAGGCCTCCGGGGTCCCCAGCACCCGCTCTCCAGCCCTCAGGCTGGCTCAGGTGTGCTCAGGCCCCGAGGCAGCTGCCGATGGGGTCTGGGCAATGCCCAGAGGCTCAGGCAGGACCCAAGCTCCCAACTCCCTGTGACATCCAGGTCCTAAATCCCCTTGGGGATAAAAGCTGCAGTGCTGGAGGCTGCACCTGAGCGGCCTGTTACAGAGCACAGGCGTCCTCCACACCCACTGCCGGAGGGTGCGGGTGCTTCCTGCCACTCCTTCCCTCTGCCTTCCCCCTGAAGCAGCTGCCTGCCGGCATGGAGCCTTGGCCCTGGATCTCCTCGCTGCTGCTGGTCCTCCTGGCCCTCATCCTGCTTCTCCTGCTGTGGGGCAGAGTCCCCGGGGGGCTGCCGCCTGGCCCCCAGCCCCTGCCCCTGCTGGGAAACCTGCTGCAGCTACGAGGCCAGCCCCTCCTCTGCTCCCTGCTGCGGGTGAGCACGGCCCCTGCCCACTTCCTCCATGGCAGCTATGCTCCAAGCACCCCTGCAACCCCAGGTGCACAGGCCAGGCCGACGGGGTGGCGGGTGCCTTGCTTGCACGCCCCTGGTCTGGCTGACCTTTCCCACTGGGATCTGGCCCTGCAAAACCCTAACCCTCTCCCCACCCCATGAAAATGGTCCTGAAACCTCAAGTTTTGTACCAAAAAAAACCACAGCTCCACTGTGTTGCCCGTAGGTGCCCTTGTGCCTCAGTTTCCCCAACTCTGACACGGGAAGGAAAGTAGCGCTTGCCTAGTGTTTGCACACATGCAGCCTCCGTCCCACATACCCCAGGTCCCTCTGAGCCCTGTGATCTCTCCCCATTGCAGCTGCGGGAGCGCTACGGCCCCGTGTTCACCGTCCACCTGGGGCCTCGGCCGGTCGTGATGCTGTGCGGCTACACGGCGGTGAAGGAGGCGCTGGTGGACCAGGCGGATGACTTTGGGGCACGCGCAGAGATGCCCATGACCCAGAGGACAAGCAAGGGCTGTGGTGAGGAGCACGCCGGGGATCAAGAAAGGGTCCCCTGCCCCCTCCCCGAACACACATGCACGCCAGCCCTGGAAGGTGCCGGCTCAGGATCCTGAAGGGGAAGGACATCATCATCCTCATATTGCAGACTTGGCCCTGAGCGCAGGACCGGGCTTTACATTCATCCTGGGATGTGGGCACAAAGCCCTAGGAGGTCACAGGGGCGCGTGTAGGAGGTAGACACTCGGGGTGCTCTCCACAGCCTGGCCTGGCCACCCCCAGCCTGAGCAAAGCACAGCCCCAGGCTTAAAAATGCAGCCCCAAGAGCAACCCGAACAACCTCCCCCTTCCCCAGCCCTCGGGGGCCCATTTGCAAGAAGCCAGTGGGGGTCTGCATTGGTCTGAGCCTGGCTGAGCTTCGTGGCTCACGTGACTCCAGCAGCTGGGGATTGGAGGGGAAGCATACTGGGGCCAGCTCACAGCCACAGGGCCTGTCACTGCGTGCAGGGATTGCCTTCAGCAACGGCGAGACATGGAAGCAGCTGCGGCGCTTCGCCCTGAGCGCCCTGCGGGACCTGGGCATGGGCCGGCGCAGCATCGAGGAGCAGATCCAGGAGGAGCTCGGGCACCTGCTGGGGGAGCTACGGCAGACAGGAGGTGCCTGGCAGGGGGCTTGGGTGATCCAGCTGCCTCTCCCCCTCTGCCCTGTTAGCCCCAAGATCCAGCTGGGCTTCCTGGCCCACAGTGCATTGCTCAGTCTCCCCTTGGCTGTGGCCTGCAGTGCATTGTGGGAGATTTAGATCAACCAGGGATCAGGGGCTCCTAAATCCCCCTTGTGGGCTGTCCTCAAGGGTGGGGGGAGGTGGCCACGCACAGACCTGTGGGACAGAGGTTGCTGGGTCAACTCTGCTGCGCTGCCTAGAGCAGCCTGGGGGTTGCTCCAAGTTACGCCCTGAGCGTGGGGCTCGTCGGGAAGGGGACAGAGCTGGAGGGGAGGGGGGCATCTTACCTTGCTCTTGCTGAGCCATGCGTGGCATCAAGCACCCTGGGCAAGCTCCTCTGGGCCCCACCAGCGTCTTTCCTGCCTCAGGGGCACCCGTGGACCCCACCTTCCTGCTGCACCGCTCCGTGGCCAACATCATCTGCTCCATGGTGTTCGGAGAGGGGTTCGACTACAGCGACTCCGAGCTCCAGGAGCTGCTGGACCTGACGCAGGAGAACGCACGGCGCTTGGACAATATCTGGGTGCAGGTAGAGGAGCCGCGGCGGGAGCGGGGCACATGACCCCGAGGACCCCGTGTGCCCTGTAATGACCTGACCCCTGGGTCACTGCCTCCCTGCTCCAGCACCCGAGCCCTGATCCCCCTCCTCCTGTGCCACAAAAACCCAGCACCAGGCCCATGATGCCCCCACCTCACTTTCCTGCCGCTTTCAGCTCTACGCCCTCTTCCCGTGGCTCCTGGGGCCTCTGCCCGGCCCCCATAACCGGCTGTTTGAAAACTTCGACGAGCAGAAGAGGTACGTGGCTAGGGTGGTCCGGAAGCATGAAGACACCCTGGAGCCTGCAGCCCCCCGAGACTACATCGACACCTTCCTCATCAGGATGCAGCAGGTGCGCACCGCGCGGAGGGCGATTCTGGAGGCCATGGGGCTCGACATACAGATTTCGGGTTTGCTTAGCACCCCGCCGGGCCCCGTCCTCGCCCCTCAGCCTCCCCCCCGGCTCTGCAGGAGGAGGGAGACCCCAGCACTCAGTTCCACCGGGAGAACCTCCTTGTCTCCGCCCTGGACCTGTTCTTTGCTGGCTCAGAGACTACCAGCTCCACGCTGCGATATGGGCTCCTGCTGCTCCTCAAGTACCCCCACGTTGCAGGTGATGCGCCCTGCACTGCTTCTCTCTTACCCCTCCTTGTATTGGCAGCAAGGGGCCAGCGTCTGCCCCCGTCCCGAGCACCCTTGGCTGCTGGTGCTGCCTCGACCACCCCCAACCCTGGGGGGTTACTTCCCTGGGCACTCGCCAGTCCCACCTATAAGCAGCAAGGGACGGGGTGGGTAAGGGCCAGGGAGATGGGACTGAGGCCCAGAGAGGTGCAGCGACCCGCTCAAGGTCTGAGAGGGAATTGAACCCAGGTGTCCTCACCCCCAGCCCAGCGCTCTCATCACACCTGAGCCCCCTCCAGGCTCTGCCCAATGCCCCCCCCCGAGCCCAGGTCTCAGTCTCCAGGTCCCCTGTGTCCACAGCCTGGCTTCGTTAGCCTTGGCCCCTCCAAAGGGCAGGGAGCAGCCCCCCAGCCTTGCCACCCTTGCAAATGCCTGTGCTCCTGTGGTGCAGAGAGGGTCCAGGAGGAGATCCAGGCCGTGGTGGGGCCGAGCCGGCTGCCCTGCGGGGAGGACAGGCAAAGGATGCCCTATACGGATGCCACTATCCACGAGATCCAGAGGTTCATTGACATTGTGCCCCTGGGGGTCCCCCGCATGACCACGCGGGATGCCCACTTCCGGGGCTACGTCATGCCCAAGGTAAGGCCCTGGCCCGGGAACCAGCATGTCGCCTGCTCAACCAGTCCCCGGCAGCTGTGAGCCAGCGGAGGGCTGTGCTGAGCTACCGAGGTGGGGCTCGAACCCGTGACCCCTTCACCCAGCAGGGCTGAGGGCCCTGTGAGCACAGCCCACAGAACTCCATGTGTTTAAGAGGCCGGGAGCAATTAGGGGCCGGGGCTGTGTCCTGCCACGGGGCCGTGCAGCTGCCTAGCGTGGGAGCAGACACCAGAGACTCAGGGAGGCGTCAGCAAACAGGCGTATTGCACCCCCCCAGGGCACGACCGTCTTTCCCCTCCTGAATTCAGTCCTCCATGACCCTGCATGGTTCCCAGACCCGGAGACCTTCGACCCCGCACACTTCCTGGATGACAAGGGCAGGTTCCGGAGGAATGCAGCCTTTGTGCCCTTCTCGGCAGGTCAGGCTGGGCGACATGCCAGCGCTGTGCTCAGAGAACTGTTCGAGGGGCCGAGCTCAGTCCCAATCGCTTCCCTGACATGGGTCACAAAGGGGGCCCTGGGGTTCACAATGGGTCTTGCATGGGGGAAGGGAATTGCACCCTCAAGGCTGCAGCTCAGTTGCTCCCATGTATGAGCCGGGGTTGAAGGCTCAGGGGGTTGTGACCAAGGGACACATTGCCCACTGCCAGCCTCCAGCCAGAGAGAGGGTCCTTCCACCTCTCCGATGCCCCCCAGTGCCCAAGTTTCAGCCTCCTTGTGCTCAGGACCTGTCACAACCTTGGCACCCATGAGCAGTGCCCCTGCAGCCATGGCTCTCATCTACCCCCGGGGCAGAGCAAAGCCACGGTCACCCAGTTCCCCACTCACTCAGGACCCCCCACCTTCTTCAGGGGCTCCTCTCTGCCTTGGGGCCCATGCATACCTGAGCAGCTGGTCCCTGACGCTGGCTCCTCTTGGCAGGCAAGCGGGCATGCCCCGGAGAGGGCTTGGCACGCACGGAGCTCTTCCTCTTCTTCACCAGCGTCCTGCAGCGCTTCGCCATTGCGTCACCAGTTGGTGCCAAGGAGCTGGACATCACGCCAGAGCACAGCGGGTTTGGCAAGGCCCCACCACGCTACCAGGTCTGCTTTACCCCGCGTTGGTGATCCTGGAGCACGGGCACCACTGTGGGGCCCCAGGTCGGTTCGGAGCAGGTGACTGCACCTGAGGCCTCACCATTAAATAGAGCCCGTCTTTGTCCATGGCCACGTCTCATCTCACTGCCTTCTTGCCCCTAGGAGATGGGTTGGGGCAGGCGAGCACTGCCACAGCCACTAGCTTGGGGAGTGATAGCGGGGTGTGCGGGTGGCAAACATACTGAAATGAACCAGACATGGTGTGTGTGTGTGTGTGTGTGTGTGTGTGTGTGTGTACGTGCGTGCGTGCATGTGTTAAAGAGACTGCAATGAACTGGACAAGGGGTGTTTCTGCGTATTTATGTACATGTGCGTGCATGTCAGACTGCAATGACCTGGACACAGCATGTGCGTGCCTGCGTGGAGGGACACTCCCTACCTCGGTTATCCCACCTGGCTATCTGCCTCCTGCTGGCTCCCATGGGCTGCCCAGCCCTTGCATGGAGCACAGGGAGCTCCTGGGTGCCGGGTGCAGTGGGAACAGAGAGTTCAGCCAGATCCACCCAGGGGCTGAGCCCATGCTCGGGGCAAAGGGCGTAGGCGGCTGTGGGGCGCAGGAGTGCGGGGCACGGCCTTGGCATCATAATGTCCTGAACCCTCAACAGCTGTGAGGGGGAGAGGAACGGGGGAAAATCCTACTCAGACCCCATCCCTCTCCCTTCCAGCACCACTCTCTGCCATGCTGGGACACAGGAGACCGGGCAGGATGGACCCGGGGTCTGAGCCAGGCCAGGGCAGCTCCTCGCTGCTCCCCTCACTGATACTGCTCTGCTCTGCAGGCACTTTGCACCATGCTCCCCTCCTGGGCTTTTCCTCTGCCTCCACCAAGCCAACCATGCCCCCACGCCCAGCAGTCGGACTCTCCTGCAGGTCCCTGGCCTCCCAGCTCTGGGCTGCAGGAAGGCCAAGAGGGCTCAGGACCCAGAGAGCTGGTGGGGTAAGGGTCTTGGGTCAGGACCCTGACTCACCTCGTGCTCTTGTTGGCTGTCTAGATGCTTCCTTCCCCCTGCAAAACCTGAGGACAGACAGGAGAGTATAGGCAGCAAGGGTCTAAGCCACGTGCCTTCCTTTGGAGCAAGGTGGAAGGCAGGACAAGCACCTGAACTGCCCAGCGAGCTGGCAAGGAGTGCCCGGCTTAGGGCTCCAGTTGACGTTACATGGGCATCGGCTCAAAGCAGGGAACAGACCCTGAACACGCTGCTTCACCCTCTTCACCGGACCCGCTCCCTTCCTGCCCACCCTCCCTGCTCAGCAGCACTCATGCCAGCCAGCTGCCAGGGGCTTGGGGCATCCCCCCAAGAAATGGGAGAGGGGGTCTGGAGCCCCTTGAGCACAAGGCAGCCTAGAACCCCAACCCGAACCTGCCAGCCTGTCTCCTGCCCATTTCCATGGCTGCCCATGCATGGAGAACAGCGTGGGGTAAAAGGGGGGAGGTTGTGGGCACCAGACATGAGGGGAGCTGAGAGCTCAGCCAGAACCACCCAGGCACTGGGCCCGTTCCCTAACCCTAACCCTAACCCTGTGGTTTGAGTTAACCCTATGGACTGGGCCCCTAATCCTAACTCTAAACCTCTGTGATCCAGGAGGTGAAACCAGTGCAAGTTGCAGCAGCCAAATTCAAAACCAGAGGGAGGGAGAGTGGGCAGAAGGGGAGGCATCCGTCCCGGCAGTTCCCTGGCAATGGGGGGTGGGGTTTCCCTTTCCCGGTGCCTTTAGCGGTAAGGGACATCGCTTTCCCATGGATGGATGTGTCCCAGGAAGGAAGTCTGCCCACATTGCAGGAATTCCCTGGGCTGCGCCTGCAGCCAGAAGAGATGATCATAGCTGCCCTCTCCTGACCTTCACAGCTTGGAATCCGCTGGTTCC